CCGCCTGGCCCCGGTCCTGCTGCCTCTGATAGAGAGGCAGCAGTGCGGAGTGGCAAGGGGCTCCCCTGGAGCGGGGCTGGAGTGCGCTGGCTGCTGCCCTGCCCCCAGGGACTATCTGGCGTAACGGCTCAGATTTCCTGCGGTTACTGGACTCTTCACTCACCCGATAGCTAACATCCCTGTCGTGCAGCATCGTCCTGGCAAACAATCCCACTCGCTTCTCCAGAGCAAGCTGCTAGGCCCCGGGTTGGGTGCGTCTGTCCGGGTGGGCTGGGCCATGGGCGCTCCAGCCCCCGATGCGCTGACCGCCCTGCGCTTCCCGCAGTCCCTGCTGGTGTTCATCATCGGCGGGCTGGTGATCCTGGCGTACTGCTCGCGGGCCAGCAACGAGCGCACCTACCAAGAAGTGGTGTGGGCCGTGTGCGGCAAGGTGCCCGGGGTGCTCTGCGAGGTGGCCATCGCCGTCTACACCTTCGGCACCTGCATCGCCTTCCTCATCATCATCGGGGACCAGCAGGACAAGAGTGAGTGCTCAGGGCAGCCCTGGGAGGGAGGGGAGAGGGCGTGTGGAAGAAGGAGCCTGCTTGCTGGGCGGTCTCCATGCCCCTCCAGGCAGCCTATATTGGGCCCCAGGTGGACGGCCACCCAACGCTGCAGCCTTCCTCCAGCATGCAGGGCTCCAGGAGCTCCCTGCCTCTGTTTCAGAGCAGCCTCCGCTCCTCGTCCTCCCCCACGTTCCCTGGCCAGAGTGTGAGCTCCACCCCCTCGCAGGAAGTTGGCCGGGGCTCGGTTGGGCCCTGACCCACCCCCCGTTCTGCCCTTCTCTCCTCCTCAGTCATCGCTGCACTGATGAAGGAGCCGCAGGGGGCAGACGGCAGCTGCTGCCCCGCCCTGCCGCCTCACCCTGCCCCTCTCCATCCCCAAGGAGATTGGCTTCCAGAAATCTGCCAGGTGGGTGGCTGGGGAAAGCCACACCAGGAGCTGTGGGGTGGGAGGGCAGGCAGGAGGCCCTGCCCAGCGTTCAGTCGCTCTCTGAGATGGAACCAACGAGCTGGGTGCAGGACCGGGATCGAGCAGAGCAGGGTTCTAGTCCTGGCTCTGCTAATAATCTCTGTGACCGTGGGTTGAGTCGCAGCACCGCCGTGCCTCGGTTTCCCCACCTGTAAAATGGGGTGTAAAGGCTTTCATGTCTTAGTATGAAAAGCGTCCTATTGGGGCAATATATCACAAGCACTAATTTCTCCAGCTCTTCTGTACCAAGCTTAGCAGGACCCTAGGGTGACAGGCGTGGGTTCCCTGGGTCTCTGACTTCTCCCTGGGAACAATGGTCCCATGGGGTGTCATAGACTCTGCTAACCCTTCCCTTTGCATGTGTGTCAGTTCCCAGAGCTAGCACTGGCTCTTACGGGCATCTGCTGCTTTAACTGCTGATTGCTCACAGCAGGGCTGGACAGCAGGAGATACTCTGGTTAGCAAGTCAGTGGCGCGTGGGTTCCCTGGGTCTCTGACTTCTCCCTGGGAACAATGGTCCCATGGGGTGTCATAGACTCTGCTAACCCTTCCCTTTGCATGTGTGTCAGTTCCCAGAGCTAGCACTGGCTCTTACGGGCATCTGCTGCTTTAACTGCTGATTGCTCACAGCAGGGCTGGACAGCAGGAGATACTCTGGTTAGCAAGTCAGTGGCCGTTGGTGGCTGGCCTACTCTACGGCTAACCCCGGGGGGGCCGGGTCCGTGGGGGTC